GGAGCAGCTGTGGGAGCCGAGCCTCGGCCCGGCTGGGCAGGCAGCGGCGCCGCTCGCCCACATCCCCTTTCCCTGGCTCCACTGACTCACTGCAGACACGCAGTTCTCCCTCGGGCACTCGCGATTTCTCCTCTCATCCACCACCCCTTCCTGAAAACCACAGCAGCGAATTTAACTTCACGGCTATCAAAAGGATAGCCGAGCCTGGTGCGAGGTGGAAGGACCCAGCACGTAGCTTTCCTCTCCCTAAGGAGAAGCATGGGGTGTTTAGGAGCCCTGTTGCTGCCTATTCTTGCATGGTGACCATTCTTGAAATGCCTCCAAATTTTTGTCTGTTGTGCTAATATAAAATGTCGTCACGCCTACATTTAGCTACATTGCAAAAGCTACGGAGCTATTAACTCCGAGTGAGGCAAATGCTCTGATGGAAATACATGAGATGTGAATATCTGCTGCGGTCCCTTCATCTTATTCTTCTTGCTTCCTTACTTCTTCCTTACACTTCAAAATATTCCATTTATAGTAACCAGAGCAAAATACCATGTTAAGATGTTTCTTCCTCTGAGGGTTAGTGAATAGTTTCTTTGGGATAGCTACTTTAAAAGTGCAGCTGAAATTCTGGTATCTGCAGACTTTATGTTACAGGAAGGAAGGAGGATTCGTTCCCTGCATTTAGACCCCAGTCCTCAGCATTATGTTACAGCAGCCCAGGTAGAAAATGCCTGTGACAGCCTGTAGCACATTGATGGACGTTGATGCACTTACTGCAGAGAGTCTAACTCACTTTTTGAAACATTCTCGTTTTAATTAGAGTATTTATCTAAGTTTTTTAATATGACACGAAGGTTCTACCTCTTTTATGTAGTGTATGTATATATGTAGTCTTTCTACAGAATAGCTTTAGTTTCTGTCAGTTAATGTAGACCACACAGCTAAATATTATTATTCTAAAGGTCCATGTTTTTTGATGTAGAGGTTCTGACTTTGCAGAAATCCAGAAGTCACCAATGGAAAATGGAAACCGTCAGTTTGCTCTCTGCATCCAGCGCGAGGTTCTCCGTATATCCCGCATGGATGTTTCTTTGATGGGAAGGGAGTCGTTTTCGCTTGTCGTTAGACCAGTGACTGACTCACCACGGAACCATCCCTTCCTATAATCCACTGTTCCTCCATTCAGTTGTCTGCATATGGAGCAAAGAGAAATGCCAGAGAGCAATATAGCAGGAGAAGGTTGATAAAATCAGCTTCAGATGAAAAACTGTTGTTATTTATTGTTTAATCCTTGTGAGGATAGCCTCTTAAGGACCAGTAATGCTCCTGCTGGAGACACCATACAAGTTAGGGCCCTGTTACTCCAAAGTAAAAAAAATGAGGGGCCCTGCCTCCAAAAAGGTATAGAACAGAAAGGAGATGCAAAAAAACTAATAAAGAATAACAAGACAATATGGATTAGCACAATGAACCATCTCTGCACCAAAATTAATTTGATATCACACTTTGGTGTATCTGTAATCAGATTTTAAGGCTAAATGAGATTTCCTGAATTTGTCCCAAAGCTCTTCACTGTGTGATTTATCTGCCCATGTACAAAGTATGTGCAGCAGTTCTAGGCAAAACTTGTTGAGAGTGAAAGTTTTCTTGGCCTAGTAAGTACAACAGCTCCAGTACAAGCAGCTCCCCAAATACACCACTCACCTGGTGAAGAAGTGTTTGCATTGCTTGGAATTACTGCTTGCTCTGACAGTGCTCGCTCCATCCTATTCATTTTACAGTTTGAGTTGTAGTTTTGCTATGGTAAATTTGGGGGAAGTACCTTCGAGTAATGTTATGGGAATAGAATGTTATTGGTAGTGATGTACATGACACAGTGAATCATCAGCTTTTCTCTGGAAGAATCAAAAGATTTGTAGACTCAGGCTACTAAATATTTCATTTTTCCCATTGCAGAGGTATTTATTTTCCAGTTGAGTACAAGGTGCAGTTTTCTTCTTATGCAACTATATGTTGCTGATTTTTAAACGTTTGTTCCTAATCAAAAGTTCACGTGATGCTCTTGCCACCTCTGATCCCTTATAAATGTCCTTAGAGAAAGTCCAGTCTAACTAGAGGGACAACCCCTGGAATCTCATTAGACTTACTCTCCTCAGCAGAGCTATAGGGCTGCTTTTTGTCAGCAGTTCTCCCAGGCTTGCAGGACAATTTGTGCACCAACTCATCTCTACAGTCATCCTCTCTCATGGGAAGAGCCCCATGGTTTTCTTTTATGTTGCTTCATATGCAATCATTCTACAGGTAACCCAAACAGACTGGTTCAGAAATTAAAGACTGAGCTTCATGGTGCAGAGTTTAGCACCAGTGTGATTTTTCCCTTTAGTGCAAAGTTTGCTGTGGTTCCCTCATACCGAGTTTTTACGCCATATTTTGACAGTAACTCCCAGAACAGCAAGTCAGCACCCCTGGAACTATGCAGGCTGCTTTCTGATCATTTTATTTGTGTTTAGTGTCTCCTGTTTGCCCTTGTTACATAATATGCTGTAGGCTATTCCCCATTACACCACCCAGGCACTTCAGTGAAGCAAGAGCTCAGTATCTGGAGCAGAACTGAGAACTCAACCCTTATCTTTCTCTGGATAAAAGGAAGAATGCATTTCCACATATTTCGTAAGGCAATGCAGTATAAAAATGCATGAGTTAAAGTTTAATCAGACATCAGCTACTTAGCTCATTAAAGTGATTAAATGTAATGGCTTTGATATACAGGATTTGAGATTTGGTGATCAGAAGATCTTAGATCTTAAAATCTGGAAATTGTTAGCCATTTGCCTAGCAAAAATATCCAGAAAATAGCTTAAATCAGATTATATCTGTGAAGGCAAACAAATTATTTTATAGTACATCAGTCACAGTTCAGTCAAGTCTAAACAACAGTTGTTCTAAGTACAAATAATACTGTGTCATGATATCCTTTATCACTGAAACTAGCCATCTGGTTTGTATTGAGAATACATGCATAGTAATTGCAATTCAGATGTGAAGTATGAATGTTTGAAATGGAAAAAAAAAATCTGACAATGTACTGTTGTATTGAAAACTGCCGTGTTTGTTGTGGGGGTGCTCTGTAACTTCTTTTGTTATTTTGTCCTTGTATACCACCCCTTTTGCACGCAGCCTCCCTGTAATATGAAAGGCAGCCACACTGCATGATCTTTCTTAAATGGGAAATGTTCTTTTTGTGTGGGAAAAAATACAATTCAGTGTAACATGTTTTCTGCAAGTTATGCAAATGTGTGATTAGTGCTATGCAAATATTCAGAATAGCAGAATATAGGGCACGGTAATTTGGTGTTGCCAAACCAGAAATTCAGAAATAATGAGTCAGACTTTCTAAAATTATAACCCTAGTTTAAAATTGTGAGATTAAAAAAATACATGTGACTTTTATTTGCCTTGTGGCTTGTTAAACTTTCATGAATGCTTAGATTACAATTTAAAGATTTTTCTGTCTAGTTTTTAGAGATTTTATTTAAAAACAGCTGATTCTAGCATCGCAAAACAGTTTGCACCAGATTGATTAGACTCATTGAAGTTGGCAACACTGCTTATGCTAACGCTTGATGTTTCAAGGAATGATTATTTTATAATTAAGTGGTTTTTGAGTGGTCTTATTTACATACGCTTCTGACAGTTTGCTGGGGCATGATTAAATGCTGAGGTTAGTAGCACCAACTAGATTAACTGGTGTGTTGTGCATTTCATCTCTTCATTTCTTGACTGCTTTGCTGTAACTGCAGCCTCCTTTTCTTCCCACCAGTGCCAGCTTTATTGACAGGATAGAATGGGAGTCTTTGGAGCAGATTGTCTGCAAGGAATCGTAGAAGCTGATCCCAAAGGCACCTCCACAGGTCATCTGGACCACCCTTTCTGTCAACCCAGAATATCCATAGCTGCAATTTAAGCTCCTTTTTTTCTGTTGATACTCATTGTGGGTATGGGAGAACATGTTACTCTTCTACTGTCTTTTTTTTTCCTTTACAACCACCTTTTATATATGTAAAAATCATCATGTTCTGCTTCACCTGCTCTTCTGTAGGATGACCAAAGTATTTCAATCTAGCAAAGGCAATATTTTCAAGACTTCTAGGCATTCTTATTGCTTTCTTCTGAATTTTCTGCATGTGTTCAGGGTCTGTTTTTCAAGTGCCATGATAAAAACTGGAGACACTACTATTAGGACAGATTCTTTTCAGTGGAAATTAGAGAGCTTTTCTTACTTAGGTAACTAATGATTCCACCTTGCACTTGTTTCTAATAGGGAACATTTTAAGTTTTCAGATCATATCTTTATCAAGATTATTTACCAAGAGTATTTTGTATTCTACTCTTCTAGTATAAAGACTATTTCTGCTTGGTGTTGTTTGAAAATATTAAAAGGATAGTCTTTGATGGATAGAAAAATAAATAGTGATGGCGATGGATAAATGAAAATACTTTTTTTTTTTTTGACCTGCTCTGGGCAGGGTTAAACAAAATACTTGTATTTTGGTATTTATTGCAAAGCTGGAAAATGTCGATAAGTCTTAAACAAAAAAAAAAAATGGTGTGCTGTAAATACAGTCCAGAATCAGTGCTTCATATAAATCAATATAATGGATTAATCACTTTCACTTTAATGCTTAGTTCAAAGAACTTTCATGAAAACGAAGCTGTAGTTGCTATGAGTTTCTCTTATTTTCTCATTTTTACTTGTCTTGGTTTTCACCCTTTCATTCTTATTAGATTAATGGGGGAAATTCTGAAGCGGATGAAGCAGCTGCTGATTCGAATTTCACCCTTGTTGATGGGACTTTTTAAACTTGGGCTTGGATGGAATTAAATAAGAATAATAAGCAGATTTGTAAGAACATTTTATTCAAGATACTATATCAAAGCACAGATTAAGTTTTAAAGGTAATGAAAACTACCCTGGAATATCTTCGCTGATGCTTTACATAGACTGCAAGTAATTGCTAAGATACAGAAGAGTCACAGTCTGTTCAAGACGTCCTATGCTTAAAAAAAATTCCTTTGGCCTAGTAGTCTAGGCCTAACTTAAGGTGATGCTATAAGCATTTTCCCCTCCTGGTCTTGGCTTTCTGAAGGTACTAGCAGTTTTGCAACATCCCTTGACTCCAGGGAAAGATGATTGTGTTTTGTACTAGATTTTTCCAGCTATTTTCTGCCTTTTCCCACAGTAGTTCTCCAGGGGTTTCTGGCACCTATTTCTAGATATTCACCATCATTCTATAGCAGCCAAAGTGACAGAAGCGTCAGCATTCCAGTAAGGTACTGAAGGTTTTATAATGCCTGCATTAATGTAGATGTTACATGTTAACAACACTGATACCTTAAATATCTATGTGCTGAAATGTTCAGGGCTATGCAGTCAGATTAAATAACCACATTCCAAGATATCTCACCATCTTGCATTTATATAGCAACTTTATAAACTCAAAAAGAGTAAAGCAAGCAAAGACACATGTCCCTATACAAGCTGCAATACAGACAATATTTTACACACTTTATAACAGTAGTAACAAAAATAATGCCAATTTTAAATGCTTCTTAAGATAACAGTTATACTGAACAATGAAACATCCTTTTATAGACACAGCTAGAATTAGTAAAAGGCATAACTACAGCAGAATATAGTTCAGCATGATTAGTCTGCTTACAAGTCTCAATCTCATTCTCTTTTGTCTGGGGGACAACATGGTGGCCCTAAATTTGAAGCATTGTCTGCCTTGTTTTGCCTTTTTTTTTCCCCCATTAGATTATCTGGAAATATTAGGATTCCTGAAATACCCAAATCTGAACATGAATGCCTTATTCTCTTCTTCCAGGCAGCTTTTGCAAGGTTTAGATCCAGAACAAAGTGCACACTGTGCCTTGTGAAGATTATTTCACATTTACTCATCTCCTTGTTGGTCACAATTTTTCACCATTCTTGGAATAAGACCAGAGCACCATTTCTTCACTCCGTATTTAAGCACTGTGCTGCATGGAAGGTCCTCTTCAGCTTGCAAATGATGATGGTGGTGACAAGGGGTGTCAAAGGCAGCTGGATCTATCTCACCATCCTGTCCTTCCTCAGGGACCCTTTTTGCTCAGTTTTCAAGATTTTTTTTTTCACCTTGTTTCACTTGAGACTAAAACACATTATTTCTTTAGCACATGTTAGTTTAGCATTGTAACTGTCTGAAAAATTCTTAAGTTTTAGTTCACCGTATACATTTCTAATGTTTAAGCTAAAAATTCTGACCAGCTTTAGTCAGTAAGCCTCATTTCAGAAAAAGGAGCAGTCCAATGTGATTAACAACCTTTGCAGACTCATTTGAGCGCTGCCTTTAACACCTGGCATCTGCCTCTTGGCTATCTGCTCTGCGAAAGGAGACATCAGTTAGTTTTTCACATATGTAAATGATAGTCACAAGGAGATAAGTTTTATAGAACAGAAAAGAGTCCAAAAGAGCTTTAACTGAGTGTTCTAATATGACTGCTTTGGCGCCTTTTGCAAGTGGTATGTCAAAAAAGCAATGATGATGCCAAGTCAGATCTGACACACACGGTTCTGAGTTTTTAAGACATCTTTTGCCGAATGGTTCTTCCTCATGTCTTCTTCAAACCTGGTTCTCTCAGTTGTTCAGAAGCTTAGAAGTCCCTATTTCACTACTGCCATGCAGAAAAGAAATGCAAGAAAAACATTAAAAGTCAGAAGCCCACATTCTAGTACTGCATTTGCTAGCACGACGGGGCCCTCCCACCTCGCTGCGGTTTGGCCGTGCCGTGAACACCCCTCCTTCCTTACGTTCGAAGCACCGAGATAGGGAACTCTGCTGCAAGTCATACGGCTCGTTTCCCTCAGCCCCTGTCCCACCAAAACACAATTTAATCCTCAACAATGTTCTGCTCTTGTTGCAGAAACTTTGCATTTATTTCATTTTTAATGTCTTCTTTGCCCCCCATTTGCAAAACTGCTAAAGGTTCACTGAAGAAAAACCCCTCCCAGGAGTTATTTTTTGCTATGTGTTTGTTACTTTTGAACAGTGGTTTATGGCTTTGGGTAGTGGATGGTTAAGAGCGGTATTTCCTTCAGCCTCATCCTTCTCCTAGCTTGGAACACCCATCACTCTGGAATACTTCCTCATACCGCTTCATATGCGCCTCTTCATTTATTCTTGTTGCTTTTTACTTGTCTGACTCAAAGGCCACCATTACACATTTATTTAAGTCTTAGATTATTATTTTGGATTAAATGCAGCCTGATGATACAAACATTTACGATTCCTGAATGTGTCTGTGGACCAAATTAATTGATGATAAATGTAGCAGTTTTGTAACTGATACAAGCTGTGAATAACTTTGGAACACGTGTATATAACATTTTAAAAGAATCCTCAGGTAAACAAACCACTTTCTTTCTCTTAGCATGTCAATCACATTGCACAAAGTGTGCTGCTGTACTGCCTTCAGATAGCTACTAATTTACACTTGATGTTTTTATATACATCATAGCATTGCTGGACCGAGTGGCTGTGTCTATGCTAAAGAGCAGGAAAGGTTCTGAGCCTGCACGTGAAGCAGCTTTATCAGCTGTTTATATATGATTTACTAGAGCATCCTCAAGGCTGTGGAGGGCTAGATTTGCCCACATGCCTTTGAGGGGAAGGTCCCGAGTCCTGCATGTCAGAGGCACCCATCTGACACGTGGCCTGGCCCAGAATATCTCTATATCGTATCTTCCCCTTATGCAGTGTCATGTATTTGATGTTGGGCAAAGAAGTCATCGGGGAGGTCCTTTTTTTTCAAGGTCTGATGCCATTTGTAGACAGTCGAGCTTGGACTGACCTCATTACCCAGACACGCAAAGGAGAAAAAATGTGTTCTAATTACAGTATACATGCAAATATTTAAACCTTTTTTTTTAAACCCCAGGCAATATCAGTGTTTAAAATCAATGTTTATTAAGGTGCTTCCCTGTATTTTACAGTCAAAAATCTCTTATTTGCAGATTGTGTGCAAGTCACGAGGCATGACTGAGCTCCTCTACACTGCCACGCTCAAATACAGCGACTCAGCTGCGAGAGGTCATCTCTGCCTGTGGGAAGGTGGGTTGCCATTGATAAATATTATTTTTTTTTCTGATGAGGCTGCAAAAATACTACTAGTGTCAGTTGTGGTGGTGTGGTTCACACACAGAACTGAACACAAATGAACAGCTGGCATTTGTAACAGTGTTTAGTCCATAGCGAGCTAGATTAGAGGTGACATGTTTGGTCCTACTCCCACTCTCTAAAACTGTCCAGTTCCCCAAAGAACAGATAAAGAAAAGCACAATTGTAATAGGATCTCCTCCTACAATCTTCACACATTAAACTCATCTAAACTGTAAAATTGGTTCATCTTTTCAAATAGAAATACAGGTATTTTCAATTAGCCACCAGATGGAGCCCATACGTCCCCGCCACAGGAATACATTAACATCTGCAAAAAGTTAAAGTACTTCATAGATATTGCAAGAGATGCAGTTTCTTCCACTTCATAGAAGTAATAGAAAACTTGTGATTAGTTAGAAGTTCACAAATGAAAGGAGGAACTGGAGATGAGCAAGGATAGTTCCCCAAATTTGGCATAATCAGGTTGCTGAACTACATGGCATTTACAGGAGTTTGACTTGTTACATTAGGTGGGTGAACTTGGCCTAACACATAATTTACTAATAATGCTCTTTTAATGCTTAACGTATATATCAGAAGTCTGAAGGTTCAGCCAGCTAAGGGCAATAAAGCCCCCAAACTAGCAAGATCTTCCAGGCCCCACTTGGGAGAGGAGAACCCTTGTTGTTCTTCCTCAACCTGCTTTCTATAATGTGAAGGGAATCACAAATTAAAAGGCAAATCCTGTTCTAAAAACTCATAGTTGTAGGGCTTCAAGCTTAGTAAACAGGAGCAATATCTCTCAAAGCCTATATCCTTAATGATTAAAGTAGGCAGGATGTTCCTTTCATACCATATATGCTTTTTATTAAGAACTCTATAGCCCAGCCAGGTTCTTTATGATTAAGGCACAATCCCAGTGATTGGAAGAAAAAGCAGATCAGAGGGAAAAGATTCTGGTGAGTGAAAGACATGGAATTAACGTATGTGTTTTAAGGGACAGCTTTATTTTGACTCTGTAACAAACCAACATATTTCATGAGGTCTAGAAGGCCACACACCAGTTCTACTTTTATAGTAGCGCTCTGTTTGAAACTAGAATTTATATTTGGGGTCTAGGCCACACTGAATTTGATCAAATAAACACATTCTCCCAAGAAAACCACCTTGGAGCTATTTAACTATTTGTCTGCACAAGCAAAATAAAGCAGAAAGAACTGTAGCAATTACAGTTAAGATTTCCTGTGTCTTACATTTTGTTTTTGTAGTTGCTGTTCATCAGGAGCTTTTTATTTTGTGGCAGAAATGACCATGTTAGAATGAGCTAGTAAAATTTAAGTGAACCACCATCCTGTCCCAAAGCATAATAGGTGGGGCTTATAATTCCAAACACCCAGGCTATAATTGGTGATGTGTTTTACAAATATGTTTTTACAAATATGCAAGTGTAGTGGAATTAAGTTTAGATCTACCCAACAGAAATGCAGCTCATAGATATGAGCTCCCCCCTGGACTGTAAGAAGTATTAAGTCCATGTTTCTGTCTGCTCTATGGGATTCTATTCTGTATTTCCTCCCTGCACAATACTGTCATAACTATCAATAATAGCTGGAGGAGGAATATTCTGAATTTAGTCTCTTGAAATGCTTCCACTTTGTATAAATAAAAAAACACTGGCAAGAGACCAGAATCTCAGCAGTTGAATGGCTGGGACTTTCTCCTGGGAGACACGAGCTCTGCAGGCAGGGCAGAGGCACCATCCTGAATAAATACTCTGATGATGTGTTCTTGTGTAAAAGGAAGGAATGTGACACCATCAGTCTGATGTATCTATTCTATCTATTGCCAAAACCAGAAATAATAGATAGAGCTCGGCAGACTCTGTTTATAGACTTTCTATCTGTATTTCCACCAACTTCCATGGTCTTGGGGCGTTTGCTATGGAGAAGACATTACATTATTTCTCCCATTCATTTTTGAGGGAGTCAGAAGCAGAAGTCCTTTTGATAACAACCTCCAATTTAGTGGAATGGTTATTTAAAAAAGGAGAGAATACATATGAGTTATGTCTTCAACTCTCCCTACTATACTACATTTATATTTTAAATCATTGGGTTCAAATGAACATGTGAGAACCATTTAAAAGGTGAGGTTTTAGCTCTAGTCATTGCTGTAAAAGAAAGCACATTTCAGAAACGAGAAAGCAAATAGAAGAGCCAAAATGATGAATTTTGAAAACAGCAACCTTCTGATTAAGGGAGGAGAGAGAAGATGTAGAGGAAAAGACTGGTTGTTCAGATTTTAGTATTAACAACACTGCTGCTGCAGACACCTTGGTAATGCCCTGGCACTGATGGATCTGTGTCTTATAGGTAGGGAGACAGGCTGAGAACCCAGGCTTTATATTCAGTCCTGATTTCCAGTGGATTTCACACAATTCACAGGGCTTCCAGGATTTGGAGGTCTTTGGGAAATAATCTCTTCTCATTCCATGTCAGTTTTGGGTTGTTCACAGAATGACAGGACTTTTATGCAATTATCTGTCATTTACAAGTCAAAAACTGACACCCAAAAGTCTCACTGATGCCAGACACAGTTTGAGTAAAAATAATAGCAGCATCAGGGCTTGAGAGGGAAGTTGTTTCTTGAACAGCTCTGAAAGGGCTAGTTTTTTGTTGGTTTTCTTTTCTCCCACAGGAAATGCTAAAAGCAGGATTGTTTTTGTGGTTGTTGCTGGAGGAAGACTTACTATAGTTCTCATATGCCAAAAGACACAGGAAAGGATTAAACTTTTTTGTTTTATCTAAATTGTAAGGATTAAGACAAGTTAAAAATATATTTTCTTCTCCAGAGTGGAACAGATGAGTATTTTATAAAAAGATTATTAATATGGGCCATTCCAAAACACTGCTGGCCTTCAGAGGAGCTCATCGCACTCTCACCAGAGGCAAGGGCACCCAAAGGCTCCCAAATTCTGCGTTCTGAGGAGGAGCTGTTCCACACCACAGGGGCAAAGCAGATGAGAAGTTAAAATCTGACCCCTGGCTGACTACGTCCTGATTTCTCATCTCCTCATTTCATTATTCTCCCTTGATTGCATTCATACGAAACTTCAAAAATACGTTGTCCAGTAAGTTTTTGTAGGAAACAGCTTCTCTGAAAGTATGATGCACAATACTGTTTTCCTATGAATTGAAGAAAAACTGCGAGACATTTATGGACAAAACTGGTAAAAGGAAAGTTCTAATAGATTTTTTGTTGTAAAGTTGACACTAGTCATTCAAGTGTATGAAAAGGAACAGACTGTTTCTTTCAGGGCTGAACATTTATAGTCACAATGAGCTGACTCCTGAGCTGCGTGATCTCTCGTCCTGTAACAGATTAAGATTTGTCTTTCTTCTTGAAGAAAAAAAAAATCACAATTAATTCCAGAATTGCAGAAGTGACTCTGAAAGTGGCAGAAAAAAAAATATAAAATCTGCTCTGTTTTCTAGCATCTTCTCCCTTTAAAATCTC